AGGGTTCTTTTTTCCCTGGATCTTCACTGACATTTGTTGTTGTGTACTTGAAGATAGACATCTTAGAGGAGTTGTGATTTTGATTTGCATTTCCTTTATGGCCAGGGACATTGAGCATTTCTTCATGTGCTTTTTGGTCACTTATACTTCTTCCTTTGGAAAACTTTTGTTCAGTGAACTCTAGCTCTCTTGCTGAAGACTCCCTCCACAGGGCTCTTTCCTGAACACTAAACCCTGTGCTGGTGTTTGAGCCACCTTTCTGCTTTTCCATGCCTTTTTCACTTCTAACAAAATTAATGACAGAATTAGAAAATCACCTAACAAAAAAAATCCAGGCAAAGATCACGGTACTAGTTATCTATTGCTGTGTAACAGATTACCCCAAAATTTAACAGGTAAAGTGGGTGCTGGTGGCTCATGCCTGTAATACTAGTTACATGGAAAGAATATTGGGAGGATCACAGTTCAGGCCAGTCTGGGCAAGAACTTGGCAAGACTCCATCTCAATGAATAGATGGATGTGGCTGTGTTACCCCAGCTACTGCATGAAGCACAAATGGGAAGATTATGCATTGTCCAAGACAGAATGGGCATTAAGTGAGACACTATCTCAAAAACAACCAGAGCAGAAAGGGCTGGAGGTGTGGATCCAGGTAGATTGTATGCATAGCAAGAGTAAGACCCTGAGTTCAAATTCCAGTGCTGGAGGGAAAAAAGCCCACAGAAATCCTTACTATCTTGCAGTTTCTGTGGGTTTCATATACCTGGTGCCTGGGCTCAGAGTTTCAAGGATCTAATCAGGAGTCAACTAAGGCTGTGGTCATGGCAAGGCTTGGCTGGGGACAGATTTGCTTCCAGGTTCACTCAAGAGGCTGTTGGAAGATCTCAGGTCCTTGTTGGCTGTTGACCAGAGACAGCACTTATTTGCCTTATGGGCCTCCCTGATGGAATCTCTGAAGATGGCAGCTGGCTTTTCTTTTTTTATGAGCTAGTTAGTAAGCAAGAGAGCAAGAAAAGGTGTCTGAGATAGAATCCAGGTTTTTGTAACTAAATCTTTTTTTTTCTTTTGGAAGCACTGGGATTTGAACTCAGGGCTCCAAGCTTGCTAGACATGGATTCTTACTGCCTGAGTCACTCTGCCAGCTGTAACTCTATCTTGAAGTGGTATCCCCATCACTCTGCTCTATTCTAATCATAGAAGTAATCCATAAGTTCAGCCTATGCCTGGACTGTTTTAGTGTAGAGTACTTACTTAGCATGAATGAGGCCCTCACTTCAGAGGACAGGTTCAATCCCCAGAAGCAATTAAAAAAAAAGTCCAGCCTAGATTCAAGGAAAGAGAGTTCCCCGATTGTGTAAATAGCAGGAAGTAGGGATCACTGGATCCTACCTCAATCACCAATGAATGGAAGCCACTAGATGAAAAGTTGATGGGAAACTAGAAAACAGAGGTATCAAGGTGTTTCCACCTGAATCCACTATGCAGTCTCAAAATCACTAGCAGAGAGATAAGTTGACATTATTTGTCTTCTGTTGTAAAGCAACATGAAACATTACCTAGTGAAGCATTCTTTCCAAGAAGAAGTGAGCCAGTATCTAATAAATCTATTTATAAGAAACAAGCTGATTGATTTATTCTTTTTTGTTTGTTTTGTCATTCTGGAGTTTGAACTCATGGTCTACTCCTTGAGCCAGTCCATCAGCCTTTTTTCGAAGAGTTTTCAGGATAGGGTCTCTCGAACGACTTGCCTGGGCTAGCTTCGTACTGCAATCCTCCTAATCTCTGCCTCCTGAGTAGCTGGGATTACAGAGGAGAGCTACAGGTGTCTGCTAGATTTATTCTTAAATAAATTTGTGGGATAGAAGGATAACCTGAATGACACTATGGGGATAAAAATCTAAAAGCAAGACCTTCAAAAGGACAATGGACCTGTTTCTTCAGTAAATCCATTGCCTGAAAAAAAAATGAAGAATTGTTCTAGATTAAAAGTTCCTCAAAAGACATAACAACCAAATACACTCTGCTGGGATCCTGATTCAAACCAACCAACTTAAAAAAGACAGGCTTGAGACAATAAGGAGAGTTATCTCTGTGACCATCTCACAGAAAAAAAAAACACTTATTTTGAAGCATAACATGCATGAAGAAAATTTTGCAGTTGAAAAAATGTGGCACACTGTACACATGTGTGCACACAATTAAAAAAGACAGAACATTGTGAGTACCCCAGAAATTTCCCTATGCTCATTTCTGGACTATCTTCTGCTGAAGACATTCATTGTACTCAAGACAATGTAACTTTTAATATAAAAATCTGCTTTTAAAACTAATGCCTATAAAAAAATTAACAAAAATAGTGCAAAATGGAAACAGGAATAATTTTACTTACATAGAGGCAAATCTTTGAATAAAATATTAGGAAATCAAACCCAGAAATATATTTTAATTATTACACAACCTCACAAGCATATATTAAAAATTTGCCTAGTCAACATTATTTCTTGCATTTCTTCTGTATTCTTACTAAAGTACATACTAGATTACAAACTATTTTTTTTTTGTGGATTGTGGATGGTAAACAATTTTGGGATTTATACACTATGATTTTTTCTTTTCTTTTTTTTGAGACAAGCTCTCTCTATAAAGAGGCCAGGTTGGCCTTGAACTTGTGATCTTTCTGTCTCAGCCTGCCAAATGTTGAAACTATAGGTGTACGTTTTCCCCTGCTCTTACCTATTTTAAAATGTATTTATATTGCCACTATTTAAAGAGTTTACCTGGCTATAAAATTCCAAATCAACAGTTTTCTTTCAGCATGATGAATACATGACACCTTAGCTCTGTGGAATCTATTGCTAATGAAAGTTCCATTGCCAACTTATCATTTGTTTGAATGTAAACTATATCTTTTGTAAATTACATTTTCCTTTAATTCTTTTTTTAATTTTTCATACAACTTTTAATTTTGAAATGGTTTGACTAATAAGAAATTATTAAAATAGTACAGTGAATTCTTTTTGTATACTTTCCCCCAATGATAATATCCTTCATTATCACAGTACACTGTCACATACAGGAAAATGACCTTGGTGTGGTACTGTTAACTCAGGGACAAATCTCAATCAGATTTCATCAGATTTTTTTTTTTTTTTGGTATGTGGTTCAATGAAACCTTATCACGCATGTTACTTAAAGTTTCTACATTTGATTTTGAAGTTTTTGACAAGGTAATGTTAGAGTATCTCCACATTAATAACATTCTCCTGGCTCTTGACCTCCCATCTTTGGTATGTGGGTAAAGTGAATGGCCTATTGTTTTATCTCTTTCTTCTGCATTGGTGTTCCTTGCAGGCAGTAGCCTTTCCTTTCTGTACTAAACATGCTTTTAAATTTTTACTTCACAAATATTGACGTGCATTATTTACTAGGGCTTATTTTATTTTAAAACTAGTACATTCCATTATTTCTTTCTGTGTTCATTTGTCTGCTTAGCAATCTTTCTGATAGCAAAATAATTCTATCTATTAATAGAGTTCTAAAGTTTTTTTCTTGGCCTACCCAGCCCTGCTAATCAGAAATATATTTCTGGTAAGTAATTTCTTAACAATTACAAAATTGGGAAGAGCGGTGGGTAGAAAAGAGATTAGTTAATCTTTTTAACACATTTTACTTATACTTCCTAACTTCCAAATTTTAAAGATAATCTGCTAGCCGTATTATTTTACTAAAAACCCACCTCACTAGTTTTTATATATTATGGGACATAATCAACTTTAAGTGATTTACAGATTTTCCAAAACTATATTCAAGTTAAAATCTTACAATTTAATACCTATAGCTGTGCTATATATACTTATCTCTGCACTACACGATGTATTTATGTGCTATATGTACTATTATATACCTCTATGTTGTTGATTCCTTTAATTCTTAGTGCTCTGAAGTTTTGCTACAGTGTTTCTAGTGATAGATTTATTTATAGTGCTAATCACTCAGTGAGATTTTTAAACTCAACTTCTCATATGTTTCTTCATTTCTGAAAAATTATCTTTTTATTCTTTAGCTTCTTAAATTTATTTTTATGGTGCTGAGCACTGAACCTTGAACCTCTTGCATGCCAGGCAAGCACTCTATTACTGAGCTGCATCCCAGTTTTATTCTTTCTTACAGGATGTATGTCTTTAGGTTTAATACTAGCTTAACATATTTTATTTATACTTCCTAACTTCAGCTCTTTTCCATTCCCCCTCTTTCCTTCTGTAACTTCCATTGGGTAGATTTCTGAACTCCTCATTAGACCCTCAGTTACTGTCAACTTTTTCATAGCTTACTCCTCTGTCTTACTATGCTATAATCTCTTGAATCTTTTCAGGGCTATCTTCCAAATCATCAATCCTCTTCTTCAAATGTATCCAGTGTACCAGTGGAGAATTTATTGAGGGTTATTATTAGTACTGTTGTTTTTGTGACCTTATTTTTTATGGCCAAGATTTCCAATTTGTTCGTTTTCAAATCTTCCTGTTCTTATTTCACAGATGTTACTTCCTTCTTTATGCCTTTGAGCAGTTAACATATTAATTTAAAGTTCTCAGATTGATCTCTATATCCATAGGTGCTAATTCTTTCATTTGTTGAATTTATCAGCTGTTTTTTACTGATGATGGGCTTCCTTATATGCTTAAATTGTGGAGGGTAGGAGCTGGAAATCGAGCCCAGGCCCTTGTGTAGACCAAGTAAAATGTTTCTTCCTCATATGCTCTTTTTCTTTTCTTCTGATAAATAAGTGCTTCATTTCTGATCCAAATGCATTTCACAGGCCTAAACCAGGCTTAAACTTGCCGAACAACTTGAATCTTGTACTCCATATCAATATTTTAATTTGAGACATTGCATGAGCATTGTATACACAATCCAAATGTTGTATTGAGTGCATCTTGTTCTTCTGTATGAATTCAATGCTCTCAGAAGCAAAAGTCCACACTCATGATACTTTAATAAACTACACATCCCATTTAAAACAGGAAGTTCTTTCTTTTTGATAATCAACCTGAGGATAAACAACCAAAGACTTATGAACTAGAGGAGGAAAAATAGCACCAGGCATGCCCTGGCTTTCTACAAATCTCTTCTCAGTATCATACTTTATGTCCATGAATGAAATTGCAATAGTATGCTTCCATTTCACAAGCCCCTTAAAATATCTCCATTCCAGATCCTTTAGATCCAGGAACTGTTTTTCTGAAAAGAATAATATTTACAAAGAATCACATTGTGATTCAACCTTTGGTTACTCAGAGATTCTTCATGGACAGTATAAACCTTCCATGAATTTAAGTTTCTTCTCTTTTGGAGAAAGCATTTTCTGAAGCTTTATAAACTAATGGGGGAACCTATGGTGTTTATCTCATCTAACACCCACCCCTAAATAGGAAAGTGGGCGAGTATGGCTGACTAGGCTAAGTGGACCCTACAGGGCCAGGGTAGGTAAAGGGAGTGTCTCCTTTGATGCCCAGACACCAGCAGCAGGTGCAAATGGAGAGATCTGCAGGGCACTGAGAACAACAGGGATGAGAAATGAATGGTTGAAATGAGGAGGAAGCTTGATCAGAGGTACATAGGTTATTTGCATCATTTCTTCCAAAATGTTTATGTAAATATGTAGCATAAAAGGGCAGTGGGTTAACTAGAATTTGGCTGTTTTCTATACTGCTTTAGGACCTACTAGCTTGGAACATTAGTTGTTGCAATCTTTTCAAGGAGCCAATGAGCTAAGGAAAACCAAGTCAAGACATTTTGCACATCCCTCTTCTCAGCAGTCATTTCCTCTTTCCTTCCCTGTACCTCCTTTCCTAGGTATCTTGTAAAGCTAAAAACCAAAACAAACAACATCAACCACAAGACCAGGACTGAAGGTAAAGACTTGACTGTAAAACCATGAGTAGAGAGCTAAGGCAATAGTATAAGGAATATAGGGAAATAATGGGTACAACAGACACACAGGAGGGTTGACATATTTCTTGTTCGGGATTTTCCCATCCTCCATGTGTGATAACATTTGAGGTCACCTGTGGCCCCAGGATTGAGTAGATGCTACCTCTGCCCAACTGATCCTCCAGTCTTGTACTGGAAAGGGCCTGGCTTTTCTGAGTCTGTCTGGGAGGACATCTATATGTGTATTCTGTATATGCAAAAGACAGGTGCCAGGGACTCTTCCTTGGGCTCATGACTTCCACGGTGGAACAGACACTGGAGCGGCTCTGCTGTTCAACAGTCTGCCCTCAGGGCCAAGTCACCAAATTTCAGGGTTGATAAGATCTTTATAGATGTGGCATAGTAAGAAGTTTTGGGAGAAGGAAGGGTAGGGATATTTGGCAAGAGAAGTCCCTGGAATTGATTCTGATTGAAGAGGTTTATGACATGAAATTTTGGTATAGACACCTGCAGGGAAGAGTGTCTATTGGACACAATTCTGGGCAACAAGATGTACAGAGAAGCCCTCTGAGGAGGAATATTCTGGGAAAACTTTTTTTTCCCTATGCACTTTGCCTAGTATGTGTGAGACATTGCAGTTGGTCCCCAATACTATGAAACAAATAAACAAAACCCAGAAGATGTCTCTCCCTGCCCAAAATTTGGTCATAGGGCCTGGAGGTAAAGGAGGCATCTTTTGAACATAGAGACAAAAGCTACATGTGAAACTGTGCCAGAGCCTTGCTCCCATGAGACATCCAAAGGCAATGCCCCTAGCCCTTGTCTGCCTACTTCAGATTTCCAATTACATTAAAAAATACTGCCTATTTGGTTTCTTATTATTTTTAGCTAAACACATTCCTAATCTACAGGATTCTACAGGATTTAGCCTGAGGAAGAGGAGCTCACATGATGGGAGAAGAGAAAAGAAGCAACACCCACTCCCTTTTCCTCCCCCCATGCTTGGTGCTAGTAGGTGCTAGTAGGACTCCATATCCTCTAGAATTCTTTGGCATATGAGGACTCACAAAGGTCTTTTGGACTGGATGATGAATTTCTGCAAAAGCAATTAATCCTAAGGAATTACAGGAGATCCCTCAGAAGAAAGTCTCCCTGGCTTCATGCCTACTCCTTGAATAGATAGATGGGACATGTCCCAGAGGAGTACCTTCAGGGTCTCAGGAAATGAGGACATGGAGGCAGAAAAGAGACACTAAAACAGTCTAGGAGGCCACATTAGAGACCTCCAGAAGTTAGGAAGACAGCAGGCAATAACTGCATTAGGAAGAAAGTCATAAATGTTCAAGACCCTGTCAGACATCCAGAACCCTTCTTCAGTAAACCTCGGCCAGTTCTTCTTACTGACTCCCAATACCTTCCATATATGTTACTTTCTCATTATCAATTTTACAAACTGTATACTTTTGTGGATTACCCAGGCCATTTATATAATTGCCTATGCAGTAGTATTACTATCAGATTTGAGAGCTGCCTTAGGCTCTGTCAAAATATTGATGTAGGGAGTTACATCAAAGACTCTTTCAGCTTCCTGCCAAATATGCTTACAGACATTAACCTATTCTATTAAATGTATTCCTTCTGTCTCTCCCACTCTTTTTCATATAACAATAGTGGTGTCACAAATGCTTGGTGTGCAAACTATCTTATCTCGAATTTACTTATCTTGTCAAGAACCTACTTCTGAGCCAGGAGGATGGCAAGTTTGAGACTAGCCTGTGCTATACAGTGAGTTCCATGCCAGCCTGAGCTACATAGGGAGAGCCTGTCTCAAAAACACCTAAAAAAAGGACTTCAGAGGGGCTTAAATATTGATTTAATCTGTTTTCAATAGCCACACAGAAGGGATGGATATTCCTCCTAGGCTTTCTTTTTCTTTTGCAGTGCTGGGGATCAAACTCAGGTTTGACATGCTGGGCAAGGCTTTAACACTGAGTTGTAACCCCATGTCCCTTCCTGTGAATAACACAAGGAAGTGGAGACCCAAAGTATACGACACTCCCTTCTCATTAAAACTCAGAATCCTATATTTTACATATTTCTAACATTCTCTGGGTGGTCTTTGGCCTTTTTTGAGCACCTCTCTATTAAGGAATCAAAAGTGAATAGTTTCCTTCTGTTGTTTGTGGCCTCTGTTGAAAGCCCTGATAGAGATGTAACAAGAAGGAAAAGTTAATGGAAAAAAAATCTCTAAAAAAAAATTCCCTAAATGGCAGCAAAGCCAAGATATGTAGAAAAGATTATATTCTACTAACTTCACGTAATAAGAAACAGGTACCCATGGGAGCTGTAGAGTCTGAGTCTAACTTGCTCGTTATTCAAAGAAGAGTTTAAGTGACCAGTCTAAATAATACACTTTTCAGGAATGAATCTGGGATTGACCCTGGAATTAAAACAATCTCTGATATACATTTCATTGCCACTGTAGGCAGTAAAAGCTGCAGCCACAAACCTCAGAACAAGCAAGATTTCCTTGGGTCAATATTCCATGCTTTCTACTCTGGAAATGCAGCTCAATTTGCAGCATGATTTCCACTCACTTTCTCCCAGGTGGCCCTATCTGTTTAGATTACCTGGATCCGCTAAGAAGTATCTGGGAACTTTATCTTCAAGGATCACTGGCTGTGGTCTGGGAGTGGAGCTGTGGGACCTGCTTAGTATTCTGGTGGCCTGAATCTTTTTCCAAAAGGTACTCCAAGACACAGCACTGTGGTCATCGGTGATAATGTCATAAGGAAAAGTGTGCTTGGGAGGAGGGATCCCGCTCTGGCTCAGTCTCTGCTGGGACCTGGAGAACCGTTCCACTGGGGAGGCAGCATTCAGCAGCAGGCTGTGGTGGAGGATATCAGCCATGGATTCCGGCATCTCCTCCTTTTTAACCACATTACATGTGAAAACAGGTTGAGGATCTTCTCTTTTGGTCCCAGTTCCACTGATGAATGACATGACATTCAGGTTTTTAGTAAGTAGTTTCTGTGCTTCCTTATGTGAAATGCCATGAATTTTTAGGAGATTTGATTTCTTCTCCTCATTAAAATTCTCAACCAATACATATAATTCTGGCAGCTATGTGTGGGGAAGAAAAAGAGAAGTCATGAGATTCACAAAAATGTAATAATCTGGCCGATCCCAAACTTGGAAAAAATAGAGCAACAAATAATCATAGGAACAGAAGCATTTTATCTTTGGAAGATAGCTTTGCCTAACTAGACCAAGTCAATGGTGGAATGTGGAAAAGAGAACAGGAAATTGAATCTCAGATTCACTATCCAAAAGATGTGTTAGTTATGTAGGCCACTTGTGCCCTCTGCTGTAAAATTAACCAGACAGAGTTGGACTTGGGGATCTTTTAGAACTTTACACCTCTACAAATCTGAGTGATCATGGTGAAAGACAGCTGGGGGGGCTGTGACCTTTGCTTGTTTTGAATAATTGTACATTTTTTTTATAGAAGAAAAGGAGCCAGATCATCCAGATTTCAGTGTCATCCTCTTCAGAATGTTCAGGAATGAAGTGCAAAGGAGGATCTGGTAGTTGTAATTCACTGGACTATTTTGTATTTTACCAAAGCAAGTGACTAATTTGTGGAGTGTTTGGGGAGAGTTGTTGATAGAAAAAAATAAATGATTTATCAGAGTACATTTCCCTATTTGAAATCCTATGTAGAAGGAATAAAACCTTATTTTCTAGAGCATCCTGCTGCAAATCTCATTATTCCTAAAGGGATCTTGGCCATTCAACTGCAAAACCCAAGAGGTCATACTCTCAGGTGCAAGCCGACATTTGGGTCATTTGGATCAGTGACAGAGCACTTGCTCAGCATGTTGATGGCCCTGGGTTTGATTCCCCAGAACCTTAGGAGAAAAAAAACAAAGCAAAGCAAAACAAAAACAAACCTGACCATTTGGCCCAGTGCAGTTTCCTTTCATTTCTAGTGCATTCTGTTGCAAGAATATCAAATAGAAAGGGAAGTAAAGTTAGCAAGTGGCTCTTTAAAACTGGTTACCATCATCAGGAAAACCTTTTAGCACCCACCTTTGGATGAGCTATGTGTTTTGCTGGGAAAAAATGTTAAGTCACCAAAATGAAATTGTAATGTTCCCTATGGCTCCCAGGTATGTCACTGCATGTTCAATAGTCTGAATTTTTATAATTTTTGAATGTAAAATTTCCCATGTAGGATTATAGGATTTTAAGTACATACCGAACACCTTCCACATGTTGGTACTTTACTGCCTTTAGTTGGATTGCTGTATCTTGGGAGGAACATTGTGCTGGGATTTTAGTCTCTGACTCCTGAAAAAGAAATGTTAAGGAAAGGCAAAGAGCAAAAATTTTAAAAATTAGATAAAATACAAAGAGAGGTAAGTAACACTTATAGAACTCTTCTCTAGGTATAAGTTTCCCAAATTCATTTTTAATCATTAAATCAAAATTTTTCCCTAAAACACCCCAAATCCTTATACAAAATATACATTCATGCTTAATACTAGCTCAAAGAATCTTATATGGACTATTTTACTTCTTGGTCTAATATTTTGATCAAATTTTAGTTCATCTAAGTAAAAAGATCACCTACATCCTTACCCAGGAAAGTGTTCTGTATTTAGGAGAAAAAAGCTAATAATGGTAACAACGATACAACAATGGGCTTTGTGCCAGGTATACAAAGAGGCACTTTATAGATGGCATTTAATGTAATCCCTGTGTGAAAGATTGAGAATGGCCACAGAATCTTCACAATTGGTCTCTGCAATAAGTGACAGTTAAATCCATTCCCACAGTTGACTCTGGCTGGCCTTATTCTTGGCTTTGGCCATTAGCAAGTGGCATTGGATGAATGACACTGTGTGAGTGTGAGAGACTAGGTCTTAAGAAACTTTGGGGTTTCCTTCACATTCTTGAAGCCTGAGCTGCATGGAGATAAATCTGGCTGAGCCAGCCAACTCTAAATTCTGACAGCAGATAATTGTTGTTTTAAGCTAGTAGGTTTTAGATGAATTGCAGTACAGCAATAAATACAGATAGCTCCACAATAGTTCACATTCTTGGTGTAATTTATTCCAGGGAGCCCTCTGTTGGTAGATCAGGGCTTTGTTGCACAGAGGGAAAATATTCCTGGGTATGCTGACTAGGAGCTGTGGTCACTGGATGAATGTCTGAGATGACATTGGTGTTTGGGATGAGGCAAAAACAGTTATGTTCTTCCCCCTTCCCTAGAAAAACTGAAAACTTTTTTTTTTTTGGCAGTACTAGGGTTTGAACTCAGGGCCTCATCCTTGCTAGGCAGATGAGCCAGTTCGACAGTCCCCAAACTGAAAACCTTACTCATCAAGAGGCTCTCTGTTTCATGATGGAGCTACACCCTGATAAACCCATTCTAAATTGAAAATATCTTAAATCAAAAATGCATTTATTATGCCTAGCCTGCTGACCACCACTGCTTAGCCACACAGCACACTGCAGTGTCCCTTGTTTGTCCTCATGATCATGGAGTTGACTGGGAGCTACAGCTTGCTGCCACTGTCCAGTGTCAAGAGACAGGATCATACTGTGTATTACTACCTCAGATGATCAAAATCCAGTATCTAAAGCATGATTTCTACCCTATGTGCATTGCTTTGCATCATTATAAAGTTAAGAAATCCTAAATTGAACTGTCATAATTTGGGGATCATCTGTGTATGTAGCTACATATCCAAATGCCTTATTTTCACTACTGAGATCCTTATAGCAATATATAGGACAAAAAAGGAATATGATATGTATCCCATTTTCTGTCTCTGGGCAGTGGCTACATAGACCTGCCATCTGCCAGTTAAAATAAGACTTTATTGTGCTTTCCTTGTATGTTGCCTGCATAGGAAAAGTTTTCTTTGTACTGCATCACCTAAAACTTCAGTGTCATGTGTCAGTATCACTGTTGCCTCTCAGTGGTCTTGTCCACCATGTGAGCAGGTGAGGCTGCCTTCACTCATTACCAACAAAAAGTGTCTTCTCCTCTCAGAAAAGGGTGTGTTTTAACCTCCCACCACAACATATGCACATGCACACACACATGCACATGTACAGTAAATTTTTAGTCAGTGGTGCTAATCAGATGATTTCCAACTTCAATGGGTGTTCTTGAAGCTTTATATACATACATACATAAGGGCCACAAAAAGACAACAGCAAAAGAAACGGTGCTGGAACAACTGACATTCACATGTAGAAGAATGCAGTTGGACTCCTATCTGCACAAATTAGGTTAAAGAGTTTTCCTCGATGATCCTGGGGCTTGTGACAATCTCACGCCTGTCTTCACCCGCCAGCTCTGGCCTGTGCAGTTGACGATGGAGCTCTCCAGTCCCAGGGCTTAGCATTCACTTCAGTGCTGCAGAAGAAAGACGAGCCTTTCTGTGAGAGACTCCTTTGTGGGGACAGTGATTGAGGGCCTTGCCCCTATTTCACATGAATTAGAAAACCGCACCATTCACTCCACTTTCCGTCAGTCATCATTTGTTTCAATAATTCTAAAAGTCTTCACATAACTGTGAGTGTAGCCAAAGGGAGCCTTGGCTTTATGTGTACTTAAAGAACCAGTAGTGTACTTGTGCACTGTTTGAGAAGGTAAATGTAAATAAGATTTAAAGACTTGGTCAAGTGCCCCCAGGATTGTAGAGACTGGTTAGGAAAGTATACAGTCTAACTGTGAGATGGTGTTACAGGGCTGGGGATAAATGGAAAAGAAGAAATGTGAAGGAAATGGTAAAGGAAGAAAATGACCAGAATAATTTTTTGTTTTCTTTTAAGATGAAGGATGGAGAACTAGAATATTTTTGAGAGGATCCAAAAGGATTGAGAAAGTAGATAAATGGCAATTACTGTGGGAGGTGAGGAACTATTGTCCTTCATTTCTTTATAACAGAAAACAAATATTTTTCTTAAAGCACACATTTTTTGGTAGATATACTTCTTCCCAGTTAAATAGCTCTTTTCAGTTTTCCTGAAGCTAGGAATGCTAAGTGGCCAAGTTTGACCAGTATAAACTAAATGGGCAGTTCTTTAGGAACACTGTCTTATAAGATAGGAGAACTCCCAGATATCTTCAGTTTCATTTTTTTTTTCCTGGAGAGTTATGTTTGCTGGTTTTCAGGCAGCAATTTTATGTCATGAGGATGCAGGCCATGCTTTAGAGATCGCCTAATAGTGAAAGAGAAAAAAACCCAACAAAATGAGCTCCTGACAAGTTTTGGAGCTTGATCCCATAGCCTGGCCTTCAAACACCTAAAATCACTCCGGGCTGCATGTTTGAGCTGCACTCTGGCTTGGAACTGAGGGAGGCTTCTGGCCTATACACAGTGAGAAGCTTAGGCTTTTAGACTGACAACCTGTGAGGAATTGAGTCCTGTCAACAACAAACAAGTGAGCCTGCAAGCAGACCAGCCCTCAATCAAGCCTCAGGGGAGATGCAGTCCTGACTGACATTTCACAACAGTCGACAGACCTTGAGACACCCAGATGCATCAGTGGATTAACTAATGATACATCAATTTTGTGCTGTAAAATTTAATCTACAGAAATGTTCAGAATGTGCTCTTTTGTGTCTGGCTTCTTACCCTCAGCATCCATGTTACTGTGTGTATCAGTAGCTCATTTTTTTAAATTGCTGAGTCATATCATTGTATGACTACACTACAACTGATTTATCCAATGAACTGATGGATATGTGAGTTCTTCCCAGGTATTTTGAGCAAAATTGCTGTAACATTCATATATGCCCTTTTAAAAGAAATGTCTAGAAGTAGAATTATTGAGTCATGCGGTAAGCATACATTTAGTCTCATAAGAATGCTGAGTTCTTTCTCCATAGAGGTTGCATAGCTTATGTCCCAGCAGTAATATCTGAGAGTTCTGTCGCTCCCCATCTTCACCAACACCTCTTATGATCTGTATTTAAACTTATCCCTTAGTTTCATGATACCTCATTATATTATTTGGGGGGGAGGACGGGTAGTGGGGTTTGAACACAGGGCTTGCCCCCAGTCCTTTTCACTTGTGTTATTTTACAAATAGGGTCTCATGGTTATGCCCAAGCCAGCCCACTGGGATCCCCCTAGTTATGGTTTCCACGTAGCTGGGAAGACCAGCATGCACCATGGTGCCCAGGGTTTTGTTGGTTGAGACAGGGTCTTATGAACTTCACTTTCTGCCTGGGCTGGCCTTGAAGTGTGACCATCCAGATCTCTACCTCTGTAGTAGCTAGGATTATAGGCTTGAGGCCCCATACCTGGGCACATTGTGGTTTAGTGTATACTTCTCTGATCACTAATGATGTCAAATATCTTTTAATGTTCTTGTTAGCATCTCATATGTCTTCTAGATTAGAACAAGGCTGTTCTAATCTTCTATTTTTTATTGGGTAGTCTTATTATTAAGTTGTAAGATCTCTTTACATATTTTGGATATTTACTGTGTAGGATTTAAAAATATTTTCTCCCATTATGTGTGTTAATTTTTCATTATTTTGATCATGTCCTTTGCAGTTCAATTTTTAAAACATGGATTATATCCAGTTTATTTATTTATTATTCATTTATTTATTTGACAGTACTAAGGTTTGAACTCAGGGCCTCATGCTTGCTAGGCAGACAATCTATCACTTTAGCCACAACCCCAGCCCTTTACTGCTCTAGTGACTTTTGACACATGGTTTCTTGTTTTTTTGCCTGGAGTTGGTCTTGGACCTTGATCCTCCTACCCATGCCTTCCGAATAGCTAGGATTAGAGCTGTGACCGCCATGCCTAGCCAGTTTGTTGAGATAGGGTCTCACTAACTTT